AAGTGTTCTCGGAGGGCCGAGAAATTTGTGAAATAGTGATATTTTGGCCTGTGGTTTAGGCCCTTTAGGGAGCCAAGATGGCGCTGGCTTCCCTGATCTCCCGCCAAAACCGTGTGACGTCAGTGGCACCGGATTGGTCACCGACAGCAATGTGGCACCGGGAGCCAATGAAACCTCCCGTGGCGAAAGTGACGTCACGAAGGAAGGGGGTCCGGCCAGCGCGCCGGGCTGGCGCCAGCAGTCAGACACGACACGTCATAGAGGTCGGACGTGCGACGAGTGGTCCTGTCTGTCGGACAGCTGTTTCCCACTACCGTGGATTTACGTGTCACCTGAAGTCCGCCAGTACTCTGAGAAGTCTTCCCTAGTTCATGTGTTGAACCAGAAGAGGGAATTGACGGTTATTTGAGCAACAAGTGCTCCAGTCAGGTACTGTGCCAGTAGCAGTGAAGCCGTGCAGTGACGTATGTTGACGTCTGTGGCAATTCACCAGTTCGTGACAGCGTAGTGACTGCCAGAGCCACTGGGTAGCTGAGGAAGAGAGGACTATTTGGGGAAACCGGACGACTGTAGCTGAGACGTAGGCGACAGCCGTTGCTGGGAGAAGACGACGGCCAGGAGACCGACTCCAACCTTCAAGAAGTCAAGGAGGAGGACGGACCTGCAGTGAGGAGGCACGGAGACGACGCGCTAAACGGTGGGATGACGAGAGGCTCTGGTAGGACACGACGTGTAGTGTGGGGGCGTTCCCGACACGAGGACCAGGAGCTACATCTCGACTCTCATTAGAGGATAGGGTGAAGTAGGTGGTTCTAGTTCCCTCCCCATTCCCCTTTAGTTAGCTATATTATTTGGCTATATTATCTAGCCTGAAGATTTTATATGTCGTGAGCAAGTCTCACCCATGTCATGGTAAAGCACCAGTGTGCTAGACAGTACTATCAAGGGTACTTGTAATATTCATGTTGATTATTGGTGTGTACAGGCACCAGGAACCAGTGATAAATTTACTGTGTTGTGTATATCTTTCTATAGATTTTGATATGAACATATAGTGGTAAATTATATATAAGATTATGCCAGTATTTGGAGGTTAGGCTATGTGCCCAGAAACTATTTATTTTCCATGTATTGATGATTGATTTATATACCATATATATGTCTATGTTCATTCAGTGAATAATCATTTGTGAGTACAGTGAATTATTGCGTTATCGCCCACGAGAGAAAGTACTGAAAACTCCAGTGTTAATAGTTCTTAATATATTGCTGAGTGAAGAACAATGTAAAGCCATTACAGTGAATCATTGTAGAATTGATTGTAGAAAAGACTGTTTGAGCCTGAGTACAGTGTAACTAAGTAATTCGGTTTATTTGTGCCAATATCGAGTGTGCGAGTTTCTAGTAATATTGGAGAATTTAAAGAAACCGCGCGCGTGAATCTAGAAAACAAGCAAATTTCGCGCGGAGAGACCATTGCGATCAGCTGTTCTTGACACTTGATGAGGAGGGGAGAGTGTTGCCCTCTAGTGATCGCATAATATCCGTGGGAATTACCAGCCGCGTCAGGATCAGTTGATTTATTTGTTATTGTTTGGCCTTGTGACATCTTTCATACATTTTAAGTAAAATACAAAACTCTCTTTGTGTTTTTATCATCCCCTCCATTGATCTTGTGGCTATACTACACCTGTAAGCATAGAGTGATAACAATAAGTACCTGCTTGATTCCTGATCTTTGAGTGTGACCTTGCCAAGGCTACCACTGATGGTGTTACTGGCCACCTTAAACACCAGTTGGCGATCTTGTGGATAACCGTAGAGCCCTATTGTTGGGTAGGGCACACGACAGTCGATGTGAACGAGTCGTGTTCTCACTCTTTCTTAATAAGAGGCCGTTAAGATTGACTGGGAGACTCTCCTGGCGTGCAGTGGCGCCGTGAGGATCGAGGGAAGACCCGCAGGGCTACGGTGAGTTACCTTGAGCATAACTATTGCTCACCCCAGAGTAAGGGTAGAGAATAATAGTGGTGAAACCCCAACAATATATATATATATATATATATATATATATATATATATATATATATATATATATTGTGACGATAATCTCTTTCAAGAGAGATTGAGCCTGCTCTTCCTTACATCATTACGTCAACATACAAGATACTATATAGAAGATACGTTCACCAGTATCGCCAAACGTTTTGCCCAGGAAGCAAATCGTACCCTACACACCCCAACACCTGGCCACAGCGCCGTAACCAGCAAACTGCTCATCCTCTGCCTGCCTGTTACTGATTGGCTGGTGTCTCGTCGCACCTGCGCTCCGCCACCACCACAAGTCGACGTCTGGGCTGCAGCGCGCCAGACTCTTCAGAATATCTCAGTGCTCCATGCAGTTGACATCTCTCGCTAGTAGACTAAGCCTTGGCTTTCGTTTACTAAGGGAGGTGGCAGCTTGAAGCCAGTATTCCAGCACCCATTATTATTTTATTTGCTATCACTGTAACTTGTCTTAGCGTAACTTTTCATTTGCCAGTGATTATTCATGTTATTTTGTTTATTGACTTGTCCTACATATTATGAGATTGCCTTTATTCATGTCTTGTTTTCTAGAGTAATTAAAATTTCATTGTTTATATACTTGTGTTTTGTGTGTCTTCCCATTACCTTACCACAGACGAAAGGACAAACTTTTCTCTTTTTTTTGTGATGTGACGAGGCCCTGCCCCTAGCTTTTGAAACAGCCGAACACCAACGCTTTACCGTCACAATATATATATATATATATATATATATATATATATATATATATATATATATATATATATATATATGACAGTGTCAGACCACGGAGGAAAATTGAAACAGGAATTTCCTTAAGTAGTTTCGTATATTAATACATCTTCAGAAGGAGTCAAATATACAGGCGATGAGTCACAATAACGTGGCTGAAGTATGTTGACCAGAACACACACTAGAAGTTGAAGGGACGACGACGTTTCGGTCCTTCCTGGACCATCCTCAAGTCGATAGACTTGAGAATGGTCCAGGACGGATGACATGAGAATGGTCCAGGATAGACTTCAAATGTACGAAAGTACTTAAGGAAATTCCTGTTTCAATTTTCCTCCGTGGTCTGACACTCACATTTTTAATCACGTGTTTAATTTCGTGATATACACACACACATATATATATATATATATATATATATATATATATATATATATATATATATATATATATATATATATATATATATTTATATATATATATATATTCTATATATATACAGAATATTTATCTCTGTCTCTCCTCTGACTGTCCATCCTATTACTAACCTGACTGCACTTCATGTTGAAAATTTTTAATGCATAATTACTAACAATTAGTAATTTAAGAAGCAATTCTTTTACTAACCATTATATTTTACTAATACTGCTAATCAGTAGTATAATAACATTAATTCATATCATTACTGCATAGTAATCATGTCAAAAGTTTCCAAGAATCCGTCACGTGTTGCGTCAGCCAGCTCGACTGGGGGATAAAAATCTACACTTAAGAGAATTGTTAAATTCTCCTGTATTTCAGCATTCTTTAATCAGAATTTTTAGCTGATAATATATTCACAATTTATCAAGTAATATAGCATTATTTGCTGATATGACTTTATACAGTTACGAACTGTTATCACAGGGCATTCATGGAGGAAAGAATTCCCTCTATAACCTTTACGTCTACGTAAACTTCGTTGTATATTGATTGTTACATAGTGAGAATTTAATTAATATTAGCTTTCTTATGATAAACCTTGTCTTTATTATCTCGCATATTTGGGCAAATTATAGGAGTTATTTCCTCCTTTCTAACACTCCGTTCTGCCGCACATGTGCTGGCGAGACAGAGAAGGAAAAAGAAACAGCCATTGTTCTCAGAGAGAGAGAGAGAGCGAGTGTGTCTGGAAGCTCCTTATATTTACCACGTCGTAATTGTGTCATCCTTGCTACTGCAGATGTCAGAGTGACGGAGCAGCTTTATCATTTCTCAGACACCAGTATCAGCAAACTATAAGTTCCTATTTACTTTTATTGTTTGTGATCACAGTCTAATATCAGATAAAACTTTTGTCGTTATACTGCATGCCCACAAAAAATAACAAGTGAGTTTTATTTCAAGGCACTTTCACATTTCAATTAGAAATATGTGTGATAATATATTCTTTTAGATAGTATTTACGTACTGCCAATATTTCAGCCTGTCTTATTGGCAAGAAAGGAGATAAGCCTCTACCACGATCACGTGTTCCTTGGATATCCTGATGCAACAGGTTTTCAGTGACGATTATTGCCAGATGCATGCTACTATTTTATCATATAGCTAAGCTGTTATTTTGTTCTTGTAATGTAGTAGAACAGTAATTATCATTTACTTGATGATCTTCAAGATCTAATATTCCATATATATTATTTACCATGTGATGTACATTAATATTGCATTATTGCAGTAGAAGTGCATTAACTTATTTAAATTAATCCTTCAAAGTTTGTGGTGCAAGTCTGCTCAATATTTCATTTCATTCTACAGTCCATTTATTGGTTTAATATTTTCATGAGTAATTATTCAAGAGATCCATAGGCACTGGTTCTCTATTTTATTTCCAATTTATTTATTTATTTCATTTCCCATTATCTAAAGGGTGGACCTTCGATATTATTGATATTTATAATTATTAATATTCTGAGTCAGATTTTCCCACACTCTCGTCGGCCGCAGCAAGTGTTATCAGTAATATATTATGTCAGTGGATCAAGACTTCGGAGTCAATCTGAAATCTTAATGAGATCAAGGATCGTCAGCAGGTTGAATTGACGTCAAAAGTACAGTACAATTAATATATTAAAAAACGATGACATATGGCAAATGATCCTGGCGCAGATGGCTGATCATGACTGGTGAACAGATGCCCTCAAGACCACAGGTGGATGACGACCATGAAGATGACTGATCAAGACCACAGGTGGATGACGACCATGAAGATGACTGATCAAGACCACAGGTGGATGACGACCATGAAGATGACTGATCAAGACCACAGGTGGATGACTACCATGAAGATGACTGATCAAGACCACAGGTGGATGACGACCATGGAGATGACTGATCAAGACCACAGGTGGATGACGACCATGAAGATGACTGATCAAGACCACAGGTGGATGACGACCAAGAAGATGACTGATCAAGACCTCAGGTGGATGACTACCATGAAGATGACTGATCAAGACCACAGGTGGATGACTACCATGAAGATGACTGATCAAGACCACAGGTGGATGACGACCATGAAGATGACTGATCAAGACCACAGGTGGATGACGACCATGAAGATGACTGATCAAGACCACAGGTGGATGACTACCATGAAGATGACTGATCAAGACCACAGGTGGATGACGACCATGAAGATGACTGATCAAGACCACAGGTGGATGACTACCATGAAGATGACTGATCAAGACCACAGGTGGAGGGCGACCATGGTGGAGACTTTTTATGATTATAAGCCACAACCTTTGATAACTAAATAGTATTGTTATCATGATATCACATTTCTGTTGGCAGTATTACCTTTCAATCTATGGTATTAACCAATAAATATTTATAACTCGTCTACCTAATTTTTCTCAATTTTTGATTAAATTGCAGCAAACAAATTTGAATCAATGGTGGTTGTTTGGGGGTTATAGCAGTTAGCCTCCCAGAGGAAACCTTCATTAATAAGTATCAAGACATTGGGCGTGATAATGGTCCAGGACGGACCGAAATGTTCTTCGTGTCCTCATCTTCTGGTGTGAGGTTTGGTCGTCGTATCTTCAGCCACCTTGTTGGAACTCATTTACTGCGTTTATTAATAAACAATCGCTGGTCCCTGCGCAAATACACTCTTTTTTTTTAAGATTCCTCTACTGGTAACGAAAAGTTCCAAGTAGCACGGACTATGGTGAGCCCGTACTGGACTTACCTGGCACAGGAGCGGAGCTGTAACTTACAAATACACTCGGGAACGCATACGTTTATACTCCCTGATTTCTAATCTAAGGGGTCTGGTAGCTGAGTGGACTGCTCCATGCATATAATATTCCATGCATTTCTCGTTTTTCCAAGGACCTCTGAAGGATAGTCCTCCCCGTATACAATATTATGTCTGTTAAGCAGACCTGAGGGGAAATTGCATGAATTACCAGTAAAGAAATGAGGGGGTTGGGTGTTAATCGATTGGTGGATGGCAGTATTGAAGGCTAATTGAACATAGGGTAGGTGTTCATCCCAAGAGTTCGCGTCATGTTCAGCAAGGATTGCAAGCATATTCTTGACTGAACGATTAGTCCGTTCCGTCATGCCGTTTGCTTGTGGGTGGTAGGCTGTTGAAAAAGCCGAAGTTGTCTCTAAAATTTTGCAAATTTCCCTAAATATATTCCCATTGAATTCTTGACCCCGGTCAGAGACTAAAACTTTAGGAGGTCCGAATACAGTAACGAACCTACGCAAGAACGCATTTGCAACTGTACGAGAATCCTTCTGAGGTAATGCAACTAGTGTAGTGTACCTAGATAAATGGTCAACTAACACCAACACGTATCTATTCCCTGAGTGACTGTGATGTAAATCAATCAAATCGGCCCCCACACGATCTAAAAGTTCACGAATTTCAAGAAATTCCTGAAGTGGGGCTTGTACCTTAAGGGTGCAAGCCCCACTTGTACCCACTCAGTTGTAAGAGTACAATTTCCTCCTCTGGCACCGATTGCACGACTTCACATATTTGATTACTTCAGAAAGTAATCCTGGGAAATAAAATAGACTTTGCCTTTAAATGGGTTTTAAAGGCCCCCCGGATGCCCTGCAATTTTAGATGCATGCGGAAGCTTTAACGCTGATGACCGCAACGTGTCCGGAATAACTAGTTGAAATACTGCCATCATTCTGGCTATTAACGTAATACAGGACGCCCTGTTTCATCTCAAAATCATGAATAGGTAAATTCTTTTTCTTTTTTGGGTATTTTCCTCCTCCTAAATACTCAATAATCTCTTTCCATTTAAGCTCACTCATCTGGTATTCTCTCATTTTATCTGATGGAATTGTTTCAATATTTTCGTTAACTTTAACTGACGCCATGTTTCTACTTAACGTATCTGGCACAACATGTGCTGGACCAGGCTTGTACAAAATCTGGAATGAGTGGCCGAAAGTTTGTGAGACCAGCGTGACATTCGTGGGCATTTTGTTCGCTTTTTAAATGTGTGTCAACACTCGATGGTCTGTGTAAATTACAAAGTGCCGCTGAAATAGGTAAGGCTCGAAATACCTAACTGATTCTACTACTGCCAGTGCCTCTCGATCCGTAGCTGAAAAACGAACTTCAGGACCTTTGACCTTTCTACTGAAATAGGCTACCGGATGGGGTAAATTATCCGCATCTCGCTGAATTAAGCACCCGCCAATAGCTATACCACTGGCGTCAGTGTGCACCTCCCACTCTTTCTCAAAATCAGGAATAGCCAATACCGGTGTCGTAATTAGTTGGTCCTTCAGTTCTTGATAGGCTTCGTCATGTTCAGATTTCCATACAAACTTCGCATTATTCTTTGTCAGATCAGTCAGGGGTGCTGAAATGCCAGCGAAACCTTCAATATGACGACGAAAATATCCGACCGCCCCCAAAAACCTACGCACGTCCTTTGCTGTCCTTGGAGTAGGCATGTCAGCAATGGCGCGGCAAGAGTCTGGGTCAGGTCGGATACCGCCTGGGCACACCTGGAACCCCAGAAATTTGAATTTCTGGGCCGCCAGGGTACACTTCTGAACGCTTAGCTTGAACCCCGCCCGATCTAACAACGTCAAAGTCTCAGTTAAGTCCTGTAGATGTTCCTCAAACGTCCTGGAATATATCACATCATCATCCAGGTACGCTAAAGAATGCCTACCCAGGACCGGACTGAGTATGAAGTTTATGGCCCTCTGAAACGACGAAGGCGCTGTCTTTAAACCAAACGGCATCCTACGGAATTGATAAGTGTGCCTACCATCCGAGAATGCTGTTTTATCTCTATCCTGTTCTGCCACCGGAATCGCCCAATACGCCGATTTCGCGTCAAGAGTTGAGAAATACTTCGCAGCACCAAATTGATCTATTATCTCTTGTATTCGGGGCAACGGATACACATCACCCTTAGTTATTTCGTTTACCTTCCGGTAGTTAACACAGAAACGATAACTACCGTCCGGTTTCCGAACTAACACAACAGGAGAGAGCCACGGTGACGTACTAGGCTCTATTACGCCCTGCCTCAACATTTTCTGGCACTCATCCCTGATAATGTTCTTCGCTTGTTCCGGCAACCTCCACTGTCTCGTGTACACAGGCAAATGATCACCAGTCGGAATGGTGTGCTAAATCTTATCAAGGTGACCAATCTGGTCATCCTCTGTCGCAAATAATTTAGGGAATTTCCGCAAAACTCCTCTCAGTGCCTTCCTATCCGCCTGTGTAGCATGTTGCAAATCAACTGCTGATATTAATTTTTCTAACTCTTCTACATTACGTGCAACATTTCTCGTCTCATATTGTACTTTGGATGGTGTTTTATTCTCTGTCATGTTCAATGCACTACATTGTGCAGTGACGGTTGGCGTCTCAGCTGACTCATGGTGAAAGATTTCTGTGTCTTTTCTTCTGTTCTGTGAAAGATTTAATGGTTCCCTGAGATACCCTATCAGCTGCCCTGAAGCGAAACGTCTTATGTGAAAGATTGACAACTGGAATGAGTGCACCTTTATCGAGCACTACAATTAAATGATGAGGAATTAATAAGCTATCACATTTCCCAGCCACCTGAAGGGTGGTACCTGGTTGTATGTGACGTCCCACGGCTACTTTCATAAATTTAACAGAATGTGGTGGGCAACTCTGTTTGGTCAATGCGTGCAATGCGCATGACCTCTTAAATGTGTCTGGAAGAGACTTAAAAATCAATTTTGGATAGTGCGCATAATATTTTTGCTTCCTCTTAATTGAAGCTACAACTGGGGGATGGTCGATCATCTCCACTGGGTAGGAAGTCCGTCCCAACTGCAACCTGCAGTTCCTAGCCCCTTTTTGAGCCGACAAGGAATAATGAAATCGAGACAGAAAGTCAGTCCCCATTAAGATGTGACCAGGAAAATCAAGGCTCTCTACGATCGTACATGTGTGAGGCTGCAATTCCCCATCAATCTCAAAATTAACTGTACCTTGACCTACGATCGCAATCTTTTCCCCATTGACCGCTGTTAATGTCTTTGCGCGTTACGTTTAAGACCTGCATACTTAAAATCGCTGAAGGCTGACTTTTTAATTAGAGTTGCCTGGCTTCCCGTATCAACAAAAGCTGTCAATCTTACACCTTCCACTTTCACCTCAAAAGTAGGCCTACCATCACTAGGAGCCTTCTTTCATTTTCTCGTACTAGTAACTGGACAATCCCTCTATGTGTTCGCGCTTCCCGCAGGAGTAACACCTCCGCGGGTCTCTGTTAGTACCCCGCGCAGGGTGGCTCGAACGTGCCGCTGTGGGCTGCTTCCCGCCTGACGAACCTGTGCCACAGTTACTCGTCTTGTCCCCTTCGCCTTTGCTTAACGCCTCAACATATGGGGATGACTGAGCGCCCGTCTTATCCGTGCGCATCTCTATCTAAGGCTGTGGCGGCATGTTGGACTAGTTCTTTATAACTCAATAACGCTCCCTTCGCAGATAAAAATGGCCCCATAGCAGAAGGCAACGCTCTACAGAACAATTGTTTGGCTAATCGCTCTGCCTGTCTCGAATTGAACCCCAGCTCCGTAGTAAGATTGTGAACCCTACTCCTTAACAGCGTCCCGAAATCTTTGATGGTGCTGCGGTCATCCTTCTGTCCTAATCGCTTGGACAAACTGTCCATGTTGCTTGGACAAACTGTCCATGTTGCTTGGACAAACTGAGGCCATGTCGCCAGGTGCCAAAACTGTCAATCTCGCCAGTGGACCAGCTACGTCCACGCAAGCCCCCATAGCGAGAGTAATCTTCAAACTATTCTCTGGGACAGCCTCCAGCATCGCACTAATCTGCCAAAGCCAGTCTTCCACTTGGCGGTTGCGTTCCACCTTATTAAGCGGCAACTCCGTGCCTCTGAGTGTCGGCAGTCATCTTGGGAATCAGACTCATAATTCCCGGTGTGTGTGTAACCCGTTCTCGCAAATTCGTATAGTCAATATTGACTTATTAAATACGTGCATAGGTGACATACTAAACATAATAGATACCCTTAAAAAGCTTCATAGAAAACACCGACCTTACCTAACCTTTTTAGTATGTTAAGATAAGCATCTTATTGTTTCGTAATTACAATTATTACTTAACCTATACCTATAATAGGTTAAGTAACAATTGTAATTACGAAGCTATAAGACGCTTATCTTAACATACTAACAAGGTTAGGTAAGGTCGGTGTTTTCTATGAAGCTTTTTAAGGGTATCTATTATGTTTAGTATGTCACCTATGCACTTATT